TCTCTAAGCGGCCTGGGAATGAAAATAAGGACGATCTCGGAAAACCTCGGCTCGTGGATTCCATATAGTGTGCACGTGTCCGCAGGTGCGTTCTGGTCTGAAGCCGAGAAAATCGATCTGCGTTGTTTCGTTACGATGCGCGTAAGATACAGCCAGCCTGCAGCGATCGAGCCGATACATACGAGACGGGTGCCGAATATATATTCAATAGCTAAATAGATTATCTCGACTCTAGCCAAATACAGCTGCTCGTGCGTAATCCACTATATGGCTTCTAATATAGCCAGGCGGATCCAGCGAATGTCTGAAGGGGGCGACGTCACATATCATTACTATTCTGTTGTAGTGCCGCTCGCAAGCGGACGAGCGCAGCCAAACCGGCTGGGGTTCGGAGGCGCCGTAAGCCGCCCCGAGAAATTTGTAAATAGAAGGCTTCTGAGGATAATTCTAGTGCATACATAATAGGGTGTATACATAGGGTTATTTTTTCAGGATTTACACGTCTGTCATGGTCAGTAACTGCCTGTGTGTGACAAACTGGAACAATGACCGACGCGCTTTTGACCCCCCTCCCCCACCACCACCACCACACACCACCACCACCACCACCACAACAACAACAACAACACCACAACACGCAGACTCGCGTGGATGCACACACAACAGACGAACGCACGCACATATACACACACATACGCACGCACGCACATATACGCACGCACGCACGCACACACGTACGCGCGCGCACACACACACACCCATACACACGCACGTGCACGTACGCGCGCATACACACAAACATGCACGTACGCACGCACGCACGCACACGTACGCATACACATACGTGCACGCACACATACACACGTACGCACGTACGTACGTACATACACAGTTACACACGCACGTACGCACGCGCACGCGCACGCACGCTAGTTGCCAAACGGCCAGATTAGGCAGCCAGTTGACTGATGGTATAGACCGCTGTGCTGAACACCGACTGATACGTAAACGTCTTCCACACAGAAACTAGACCGGACCGGTTGTTAATTAATCGCAGAACGATCGTCTTTTCTCAACTCACGTCTGTTTTGGCATGTTGTTCGCTGTAGTTATTCCCACTCGTGAGCAGAAATACACGTAAGCTATAGCCTGCATGTGAATAACCAAATAAAATCGCGCTGCATGGCGTCCGGCAATGCTATCAGACAGACCGAAAAAACTCAGCTGCTGATTGCTATGTACTTTAATATTTCATAAGGTTCGTTTCAATCCACGTTACGTGATTACGAGTAATGTATGCAGACTGGGCGATTGAAACGAAGCTAAAGTAGTATGTAAAATACAGCCAATCCTTTGTAGAAGTTGAATTAACTAGTAAATGGCGCGTATAGGCAGCAAGCAAAAACGGGTCGATCTATCGCCATGGAAACTAAATTCAACCAAATTTCACACAAGTTCGTATGTGATAGCATGACCATATCCACTCTTGACCATATCTATACCTAGCTCTAGTATAGCTAATATATAAATGCATTTTGCAAAACCTCTATAACAATTCGCGTATTTTTCAACTATTTACAAATTAATATATAAGCGCCTAATGTTGATCAACAGCTTTCTAACCCGTAAAAAAATTACACCTATAGCTGCGTGTGCGCATCACACTCATATAAATTAAAAGAGTGATATTCGTGTTAGTCATGAGTTACTTTTATATTTATATATTACACACACACATCCCGAACCCCCAGCCGGTTTGGCTGCGCTCGCTGCGCTCGCTTGCCGAGCCACTACAACAGAAATATAATGACATGTGACCCCCCCTTCAGACATTCCTGGATCCGCCCCTGCTATATAGACATATATGGATTCACGCACAGCAGCTGTATTTGGCTAGAGTCGAGGATAATTAAATTTACTATATGAATATATATTCGGCACCCGTCTCGGTATGTATCGCTCGGATCGCTGCAGGCTGGCTGTATCTTACCGCATCGTAACGAAACAACGCAGATCGATTTTTCTCGGCTTCAGACAGAACGCACCTGCGGACACGTGCACCTATAGGAATCCACAGCCGAGGGTTTTCCGAGATCGTCTCTATTTTCATCCCAGCCGCTTAGAGATTGCCCCAATATCTATTTATACACTTTCACTTTCTTCGTACGTGCGCTCACAGATGCGCGCTATCGCCCACCAGGGATGTGGGGTACTCTGTACTCAAGGTTATCGCAGAAATTGCACGCATCGGCGTAAACTTATCGAGAAAAGAATGGCAAGAACGTCGTGCGAGCGAAACTCCTCATACCGCTTATCACGCGCCGAGTCTGGTGACTCGATCACGCTTTGCGATTTCCATTTATTGGCGCGAACTATAGTTCGATTGCATTCGATTGCGTTCGATTGATTACGAGTTTTCTAGATAGGCGGTCCTACTAGTAACAATACACTTTTTGCAATTATATAATATATACCCCGGCCCTTGTACACAGAAATAATGTAGCAGGAACGGAATAGCGTGCAGGTTGGATAGATAGGACATTGTAATCCAAAACAAGAGTAGGGGTGGGGTTGTCTTCTATTTTAGTAAGGGCGCGGTCCTCTTCACTTTCCAAATCCGCTAAAACCCTGATCCCAACCCCAACCGGCAATAGTTGTTTCCAATCTGTCAGCCGAGACGGCACGCTACCGTAGGGGAAACCTCCGATGCCGTCATCACTCCATCGACAAAAAAGCTGGTTGCCTCGTGCATTGTATCCCGTCATGCCATTCGCTCGCTTAAACCCCAATTGGGGTTTTTCATGGGCGTCTTGGGCGTTGTGAATTGTACAATGATCATAGGTACATGGCCATTCGTATCAATCAGGACCAATATCGAATATATAAGTTATAACGCCACGCTGTTGCTACTGTTATTGGTATTGATATTGCCTCTGCTTTTGATAAAATTCCGTGCGATATTGCTTTTGCTAGAGTTATCGATTTGTTTTATCACACTGTTTCTAGCCGTGTACGTGCGTCATCTGGCAAGTAACTATATTTAGATATCGCGTAAAATCACATGCATGCCTATATTAGTTAAATAGAAGGGTATTGTGAAGGGCATTTAAACAGATAGTGCGAGAGCCAATTGGCAATAATTATAATACACGCGTAGTCGCGAACAAATCTGCCTACTAGCTGCGCGTTAAGCAATAATCACTGAAATAAATATGTAATATTTTAACTGTAACCAGCGGTGGTGTGATTAGAGCAAGGTAGCATATATATATATATATATATATATATATAAAGAGCTAATTAAGAGGTATTATTAGCTCTTGATATATATATATAGCTTGCTGAAATCAATTAAGCATTTTTTAATCGGGAAATACGACACTGTCCCTAGCGCGACACGTCTGTCATGGTCAGTAACTGCCTGTGTGTGAACAAACTGGAACAATGACCGACCCGCTTTTGACCCCCTCCCCCACCCCACCACCACACCACCACCACACCACCAAACGAACAACAAAACACCACAACACGCAGACTCGCGTGGATCACAACAACAGACGAACACGCACGCACACTATACACCAGATAAGCACGCACGCACATATACGCACGCACGCACGCACACACGTACGCGCGCGCACACCACACCACACCATACACACGCACGTGCACGTACGCGCGGCGATACACACAAAACATGCACGGTACGCCCACGCACGCACGCAACGTACGCATACACATACGTGCACGCCACACATACACACGTACGCACGCTACGTACGTACATACACAGATTACACACGCACGTACGCACGCGCACGCGCACGCACGCTTAGTTTGCCAAACGGCCAGATTAGGCAGCCAGTTGACTGATGGTATAGACCGCTGTGCTGAACACCGACTGATTACGTAAACGTCTCCACACAGAAACTAGACCGACGGTTGTTAATTAATCGAGAACGATCGTCTTTTCTAACTCACGTCTGAATTTTGGCATGTTGTTCGCTTGTAGTTATTCCCACTCGTGCGCAGAATACACGTAAGCTATAGCCTGCATGTGAATAACCAAATAAAATCGCCGCTGTGCGTCCGGCAAGCTATCAGACAGACCGAAAAAACTCAGCTGCTGACTTGCTATGTACTTTAATATTTCATAAGGTTCGTTTCCAATCCACGTTACGTGATTCGAGTAATGTATGCAGACTGGCGATTGAAACGAAGCTAAAGTAGTATGCTAAAATACAGCCAAATCCTTTGTGAGTTGAATTAACTAGTAAATGGCGCGTAGGGGGAGGCGGAGCAAGCCAAAAACGGGTCGATCTATCGCCATGGAGAACTAAATTCAACCAAATTTCACACAGATATTGTAATGTGATAGCATGACCATATCTATACGCTAGCCTCTTATAGCTAATATATAAATGCATTTTGCAAACCTCTATACACATTCGCGAGTATTTTTCAACTATTTTACAAATTATATATAAAGCGCCTAATGTTGATCAACAGCTTTAACCCGTAAAAAAATTACACCTAGCTGCGTGTGCGCATCACACTCATATAAATTAAAAGAGCTGATTCGTCGTTAGTCATGAGTTACTTTTATATTTATATATTACACACACACACACATATAATATTATATATATATATATATATATATTATTATTATCATCCAGGTCCATCGTACAAGATTCAATGTCAGCGAACGGAGAATTCGAGAATCAGCAAGCATTACGACGATGATGATTATTGATAAGCGTTTAGACATGTACCAATATAGATATAGATCGATATAGATTTAGGCACGTACATTGTTATATTAAGTTGTCGTTAACAACAAGAATAGTCAAACGATAATAAAAGTTCAATAAAATATTCACGAAAATATAAAATATTTACGAAAATATATTTATATTGATGGGTACCAAATCTGCGCAGGTGCTAAAAAATCTATAACAAAGTAACTGACGCCCATCTAATCCATCGTTAGCAAAACAAGAGTACAAACAAGTGTGTGCAATGGCGACGAAGGTGAAAACTCGAAATGTTACTCCAATCATTGCTTGGGTGCGAGACTTCTTGCTTGGGGTACGTATAATTTCATATTAAATTTGTAACATTCTTATTATTTATATGACAGCCGAAAGCTTTTATATAAAACGTTATCTGCATATATCTAAAAGTTCTATAGCCCTACAGAAAAATAGTTACAGGTTGGCCACAACGGTTCAAGGATAGAGAACATGGCCTACTTATCCTAGCTCTGGTACTATAGGTGGGGGCGGAGTGACGTCACTTCCCCTTAGCAATACGTCCGGTGAGCCGCGCCGGATAAAAACAAAAGCGCGAATTCGGCTGCGGAGCGTCTATATTCAAGCCGGTACGGAGAGATGACTGTACGCATTATATTTGCTATAGTAATATATTGACTAATCGGCGTCAATAAACTCAATATTCACAGAGAGTATAGCTAAGACATGTGTCTATAGGTATCTAGAATGTATTATGCAAAGATCTCCCGTACCGGTCTTGAATTCATACTACTACTACTACTAGCGTCGAATATTGAGTTTATTGACGCCACGAAGCGGCACGGATTAGTCATGCTAGTCCTGCACGATTAGTTATGCGCGCGAAGCCAAATTTCAGATGATTAAATTTTTAATATTCTAGATACCTATAGACACAGTCTTAGCTATACTCTCTGTGAATATGAGTTATTGACGCACGATAGTCAATATATTAGCAAATATATGCGTACCGTAATCTCCCGTACAACGCTTGAATATAGACACCGCCCCGAATGGAGCCGCTGCTGTCAAGAATAGAGATGATGTCCAGATTGAGACCTATGTCATTTCCGTAAATGTGGGAGTAGCCCTTTAAACTCGACAGGGGTGTTCTTAAAGGTCTTCTTGTCCATTCGACCGAGAAACATTATGTGACTTCACAGCAAGTGTGCAAAAAACTGCTTTTCAGCGAGACTACTCGCTCGTTTCCCACTGTTTCCCACCATTGCTACGCCGTCTTCGTTCTCCTGACTAATTGCTGTTAGCCATCTGTCTCTCCTCTCGGGCTACGGCAGCTCAAAGAATGATCGTTTTTGTCACTTGAAAGACTGTGATTGCGGAATCCAAACACCACATAATTCCTTGGCACTATGCGCTGCGTGCATTGAGCGCGTGCGTTACTACGGTTTGTTTTTCATCGGCTCGAATCTACATCCGGTCAAATAGTCAAAAGTTCCCGGATGTCCGCCCCCACCTATAGCCCGCGTTCATTATCTGCCGCAGGGCTTTAGAACATTTTCAGCTAGATTTCGTAACTGCAACCTGTTACCACCTGTTCCCACGAAAAATGGATCGCAAAACGCAAAATTATCGGGCTTTTTAACACTTATTTATGCTGAGAGGGTCTATGTCCCCCGGGGTACTGCCGGAACGTACCCTGGTACTATCTAATATGCCGGACCGTACCTCGCCTACTCCACTAACGAGTCTAGGGAGTCGCCTACGCCTACTGCCTAACCCTAACCCGAACCCGAACCCGAACCCTAACCCTAACACTAATCCTAACCCTAACTATATCAAATAGTGACCAGGGTACGTTCCGGCAGTACCCTGGGGGACATAGACCCTATGAGCCTTATTTATCTACATGGACATCTCACCTATCTTTTTGAACACTTTCCACAACTTTACACCATGTATTTGTGCATTTATTACTCAAAGTCAGCACTACTGGTAATTCCGTTAGAAATATATTTATTGGTATTGTAGGCAAAACACATGGCAGCTATGGTGCATGTATATACAATACCGGTGACGTCACGCGTGCACACGCCAGAATATTTCAAACGGAATTACCAGTAGTGCTGACTTTGAGTAATAAATGCATAAATACATGGTGTAAAGTTGTGGAAAGTGTTCAAAAAGATAGGTGAGATGTCCATGTAGATAAATAAGTGTTAAAAAGCCCGATCATTTTGCGTTTTGCGATCCATTTTTCGAGGGGACAGGTGGTAACAAGTTGCAGTTACGAAATCTAGCTGAAAATGTTCTATAGCCCTGCGGCAGTTAATGAACGTGGGCTATAGTACTAGAGCTATACTTACTCACGCGTAACCTTGTAAACAGTAATCTACTGCCTACTTCTAGTTTTAGTAGTATTAGTAACTACTAGTACTACTAGCGCTATAATACATGGATATCTGGTTTGAATGAGCAATGCATCTTTGTAGAGCTTGTGTGAATTGTAGCACTCGCTAGCACTAGCAGACCTGTACTATAAAAGTCACCCTAGCCAGAAAAATTAAAATGCCAAAATAAAAATTGTCTACAACTGTTACTATAATTCAAACTCAAACAAACTTGTGCAAAACATATATTTCTTCTCTGATAAATAATCCACACCATCTTTATTATCATGACTTTCAATGATTACTTTATTACTAGTAAACCATTAAACTCCTTTGAGTCCTTGAATGTTTACCCCATCATGTATAACTACAACATGTAGCTTGTAAGTTAATAGCCTGTTACAAATTACAATTACTATAACAAAACATATTAACTGTAAAAAACAAACGGTAAATGGGCGCACAATCCGCACACTATTTCATATCACTATTTAATAAAAAAATTTCATGAAATAATGGTCGGATTTTTAATATCTTTGCAACTTTTATTAGTACAAATTTTATTACATAGGATACGAGTAACCTGGCCGCTGTAAAACTTGTGGTAAAAAAGCGTTAGAAATTCTCACGGAAATCTACTTGTGGCAGTGGTGAATTGAGCCAGAGCGAGTGCGCCATCTGTCGTGGAGTTTGGGGTTAGGGTTGTCCTAGGGGGTAATTGCCCTAGGGGGGTAGTTGTCTAGGTGGCAGTTGTCCGGGTGGTAGTTGTCCTAGGGGGGTAATTGTCCGGGGGGTAGTTGTCCAGGGGGTAGTAGTCTTAGAATCAAGCTAAACTCCTAATCAATTATAGCTAAGCAGGTATTTCCTTTTAAATTTAATTCTTTCCTTTATTTTATAAACTTTGACTCAGTATCGCGTAAATATCCTCGGCTGTCCTAGAAATCTGAGTCATTATGTGTGGTGCGATTGTATTGCCGCCAAAATTGTTATCGCAAAACATTCGAGTGTTGATTGACTAGTGTGTGTCGTTACTGCGCACGTATTGTAGCACCGTGTATGGCACAAATGTGAGTGGAACTGTTGACTACAGGTCAGTCTAGAGCACACTCAAAACTTCTCGCTGTGTTTCGGCCATAGAAATATATTTATAATAACTGATTGTTTTTGTTTACCGTATATGAGTATGGCTTTGACATACTCATAATATGTTATGAATGTATTGGAATACATATTATAACAGTAAAATAACATTAGAATTTGACCATTCGTGTCGACTGACTCTTTCCGTTTGTGTATCGCGGTACGTATCGTATTGTGACCTACGTATCGAGTTACGTATCGTATCGTAATCCTAGTGTATCATTACACCTATAATACGTACTGTCTGCAACACCTTTGTGAAGCAAATCTTCCATCTGTTAATGCTCAATCTTTGTTTGTGCTCTGTTTATAACGTGTAACTGTTTATCTAATGTTTTTTGCAGAGACCATATACCCAAGCTCTGAGATTTAAAGACTGGATCGTTCCAAGGTAAATTTCATGGCTGATGATGAAAAGTACAAAAACATTATAAATTGGGTTTCAATTTTGGTTGTACAAATGTATTTCATTATGGTTTCAACTGGAGAGGTGACTTGTGTGATGTATAATAGAAATTGTGTGTTATATGAGTAATTTTATTTTGTAATAAATCTTTTTATTGTACGTTTTGGCAACAGATTTGAGAGGTGGTTTAATTTCCTATCAAGCTATATAAAGCTTCTAAAACTTCCCACCAGATGGCAGCAGGTGACAGTGTTGCAGGAAAGCAACTTCATTCAGCATTACAATGACCGCCATACACTGATCTCTACTATACTAACTTAGTATATATAACTACTTAGTATAGTAGAGATCAGTGCAGCCGTAGTAGTTGTCGAAACTGTTGCTAACAGGTGGAATTAATGGATTCATCATAAAATAACCATACATTATCATTACTATATATATTATTAATATGTTATTATATATATATATATATAATATTATTTGAAACTATGCGCGAAGCGTACATCACGAGCGCGAAGCGCGAAGTCACTTGCGGCCGGGGTCCAGTGCCCGCCTTAGGGCCCTGGAAGCTCAGGGGTTTTAGATGCTCTCGGGTGCAATCTGAGCCTTATTTTGGTGCATTTTTGCACAAAATTTATTACCTATATTTCAAAATAATTTGGGTTGAGTCAAGAGTCATGAGTGATGAGTCATTTTTCATTGTTCAATTTGTATACTAGTTTGAATGTAACCAGTAAAATGTTATAAAGCAATGCGAAAAATGCAAATATATATACTATAAGGTGAAACTATATATATTGATAGAGTGTGGGTAGCATTCGAGCTGCGAGTTGCGAGTTGTTACCAACGCTGATATTGATATGAGGCTCAGGACAAGTGAAAGTCTACGTGAGACAAGTTATTCGTTTGGCTAGTTGCCTGATTGGACAACTAAAAAATTTCTAGTTGCGTAATATTCCTAACATCCTTTGAGCCAAGGCGCTATCGCACGACAACGGACATTCTCACGTTATATTTTCGAAGGTCACCGACAAAAGCGGCCCGCGAGGCACACGTCTGTTGGTGTGCACATCGACGCTGCATACGTGCCTGCTGCCTGGGGGCGGCATTGATTGAAGTAGGGGGGGGGCACGATTGTTTCAGTCGTGCGGTGCTAATCACTACTGAAATGTAAGGGGTGGGCACGGCTGGACTATGAGAGAGGAGAGAGCGATGGCAAAACTCTTTCCTGGAATTTAGGAAAAAGCTACAATCGGGAATGACACACAAGTGTGCCGGCATGCAAAAATAAACGTATGAATTTCATTACGATTTTCCATGGATTACCGTTTTATAATCATACGGGTCTACATAGGCACGCCCGCACGCACACACACACAGACACGCACGCACACGCAGGCATGTGTGCAGGCACGCATGCACGCACACACAGGCACGCATACAGGCACGCGCGCATGAATCGGAGCAAGCAGCTCGGAAGACGTAGACGCACTGTATGACTCGACTGCCCGTACAAGTGGGAGCCCATGCACAGAGTAAAACAGTGTAATAGACTGTAATAGTGTATGCTACAAGCGCGCGCTGTGACTACGCGTACGTCGTCCCGTTTGACAATGCAGTACAGTTGCATTTTGCTTTGTTTGTGTTGTTTCTTGCTTTGATGCTAAAAACTCAAACCTTTAAACCTTACATGTTAAAACCCCTCGTGGACCACACTGATTATATATACCATGTTACATATATATACATCGTTTAAAATTACCCTTATATTAGAATGAAATCTGATGATCTTATTCCAAGAAATGGTGTTATTACAGAGATCAGCCTGCACCTGTTCTGCCTCTAGGCATTACTCACAAGCTGTCGGACAACTACTATCATACCCGTGATGGCAGGGGAGAGTCCAGACCAAACACGACAGTATACAGCTCAAGTCAGAAGACACTAATGTCTGGTGATGCACCACCGTGAGTGAAAAATTAATTTGAATGTTTAAATTTAATTCTGTGCAGTCTATTGCTTCTGTCCTTAGGATTACAGTCAGGTGTTTGGAAGCAATGCATAGACGTATTACTTGAGTTGTAGGCATAATATGCATTGCGCGTCCATACCAAAAAATTATTATAGTGCTTCTCTGAGGTAAAATTGAAATATGCAACTTACGTCATTGCCACTAGAAGCAACACGAAGTAATAGCATCCTCCGAAACAAGCACTGTTAATTTTTGATTACATCTTTGTAATGTTACGTATAATCATTAATGTTATATAGTGTTATCTCGTGTATGTGTGTTTACGTTAATACGATGCTTCTATAGTGTTATCTAACCATATATGTATATATATATATTTATTATTACGTAATATTATTCAAACTTAAAGGGCAATTGAAGTCAAATTTTATAACTTCTGTAACGTTTTTATACATAGAAATACATTCAATAACGTATTCCATTTCAAATCCGGCGCCCAATTTGTAAGAAACATATGAATATTAATCTAGGTCATGTGACGTCACAGCCCCAAAGTGAAACACGCCATTATATTATAGCGTAACAGTGCTAACACGCTAGTATATGTTATGCTAGGTCAAAGTATTGTTACAGCATACAACAAACATGTAGCCTGTAAATGTACTTATATTCATGTACATACATATTACCTGTGTGGATAATGCATTCACGGTATATGTACATGACTTGCGTAAAGATGTTTGTACATGTACAGATACATGTGATTCTGACCGAGCGTGATAAGCCCGGTGATCAGTGTACTCGCATGTCTTCTCATTCTCATGGCAGCATATACATTCAGGTGCCGTACTCATTAATTCACAAACACTACAAGAACACCAGTATTTGTCTACAGTCCTATCTGGTACCGAAGCTTCCATTCCGCCATGAATTGTGACTGTTCTGATTCTCGAGAAGTGTGTGCCGACTCTTCGCGTTGCTTTTTCAGATGATTCATTCTCCTCAATTTCTTTTTGTGTATATTCAGGCTCAAACCTATATCCAACTGGTAAATCACTATAAATTTCATCATCATCTGAGTAATCACTAGAATCTTTGAAATTATTGCTTTCTGTCTCCATCTTATACACCACACGCACTATGTTTACATAATGGCGTGTTTCAACAGGGGGCTGTGATGTCACATGACCTAGACTAATATTCATGTGTTTCTTACTGCGGATTTGAACTGCGGGTGCCGGATTTGAAATGGAATACGTTATTGAATATATTTCTATGTATAAAAACGTTACAGAAGTTATAAAATTTGACTTAAATTGTCCTTTAACGGGAGTCGAGCAAGTAGTAATCCACTTCCTATTTATATGAGCTATGCAATGATTCATAACGATTCTTTGTCGATTAACCACACATCAAATATTCTTTATCAAAATGCATTTGTGTGCAGCATGAGCAGAATCATGTAAAATACGTTAATTAGTGCTGCCCTCTATCAATCAACAGTAATAGTATGTGTTGCTGTCCATGAATGCTGTATGATATTAGCCATAGGAAAGCTTGTATAATGCTTGACTGTGCTTTCGTAACCATACAGTCATAATACTGTGTCATATTTTGTGAGGACACATTCTTGATTTCCATGAATATTTCGATGTTAGTTTATAAATTCTGTAATGACTTCAATAACTTAAATAAAGGCTCTTGGTGTAAGATTTATACATAAGAGTTCTTTTGATAAGGAGAAACATAGCTATCCCCCTCCAGTCCTTGTGTTTTGGAAAAAGCAGGCGAGTGAAAAATCGCACACCTTGGCTCGCCGAGGTGTGTGATTTGCATCGGAGTGCCCGCAGGTCACGAGGCAAACTAGGGGTGTTCGGTGGCATGCCCCCCCGGAAAAAATTTGAAAACTAGACTTCATGAAATGCCATTTCCAGCATTTTGGGCTAAAAATTAGCTCTGCATTTGTACTATTAATTTTGACATTTTTTAGGTGATTTTTTTCATCTAACAAAATATCAGTTCTTGGACATGTGGATAACTTGAATCACACATTTAGCATGTTTAGTCAAAAAGGAACAACACTCAATTTTTCAAAGTAGACTATTAAAACTTTATCTAAAAATACAACCAATCACATTCGTCATTCTAGAGCGTTTTGCGACTGTCATTATAAACATGTGAACCGACTTCCGGCAATGTCTGTGATGTTTACAACCATTTGCGTTTATCTTCGAGTTTATAAGTTGAATTAATGAAAAATAAAACACGAAAAGAAAAAGAAAAAAAGGTGTGCGTTTTGATAATGCTTAGGTGCGCGTTTTTTCGCACTTCTCGTGATCAATCGAGGCGCGCGATGGCGCGCGAGCGCGATCGCGCACCTTAAAACACAAGGTCTGGGCCCCTCATAGAATAATGTTCCATGATATTGGTGTGTTGTTTCAATATTGCTTGGTTGCCTTTTCATCGAATTTGGTACCTAAATTTATCATGTACTTTTCCAGGTCTAATACTAATAGGAAGTCTGTTCCAACTCCGGGGAACCTACATCACTGGGACTAGTGAGGATGTGTGCTCCCAATCATCTGAAATACCAGCCGAGGTGCCATTTCTCAAGTAGATGCCACACTATTGACTTTATGCCGATTTCCACATAATTCTCAAGGCAAACTTAAAAATTTAAATATATTCGATGCTAGTGAATTATTTAAGAGTAAAGTTTTTCTACCGTTATTTGATGAGTCATTCGGTCCATTAGTGAAGTGCTAACGTCCTGAAATTATTTGTCAAGTGCATTGCAAAGAAACTGAACGAGTCAGTTGATGTCCACTTTCATAGGTGCATATGCTCATAGTGTTGATAATAGTTGCTTACTGATGGGTTGGCTTCATGGAGCATGTAATTTGAGTGCACAACCATACTACTATTCGATATGTGTTTGTAAATTATCTGTTATGCATTAAAGTTATAAAAAAATAGAACCAAACTGTATAATGATGTCTCCTGCCCAGTGAAGCCGCTTTTGGGGTTGGCTGCCGTGAGTCTTTGCAATCTCGCAACCAAGTGCTCATGCAGACTTCCCACTTACCAACCCAGTGCAGGTACGAATGGCGATCGCATCTCTTCGGAGAGAGAGAGAGAGAGAGAGAGAGAGAGAGAGAGAGACAGAGAAAAAACAACGGAAAAATGTTAAGAATTAGCTCAACTATAACTGAATTATATTTTGAGATCTACTTGTTACATAGTACACAGATCGTCTTGTTTACAGAAGGGTACACTGTACATCACGTGATCGTTGCATCTTTAGCGAAAGGCGCCTCCGGCGATCGCCGCCGCTCATCAGAACGATAGCTGAGAGCCGGCGACTGCAATTCCGCCCAGCTGGTATTCATGCATGAACTGATTATGAACTACCAGTCGCGTGGGAGTAGAAGGTTTGGCGATAACTCGGTGGTGGGGGGTAATCATGGCATGGTGCGTATGCGCAGCGTGGGCGAGAGACGTCCGCTGTAGCGTTGCACACAGTGTCCACCTGCTGCTGCGCGAGCATCCGAAAATGTTGCAAAATTAGGTGGAGCGCGCCAGGGTCGAAACCACAGGCGACGCACGCGACGGCGTTTCGATGAAAAGCGTGCGTCCGTGCGAACGGATGATGGCGATTAAAGATGCGAAGGTATTTAGCGGACGGGATTGTCGATTTTGGAAGATCATATTTAGGTGGCACCTGTGGCGGTTGTATACTATAGCAACACTGAGGTGGCAGCCTCTATAACAGTAGTTTTGTCTGATGTAATCATCATTACCAAACGGCATAAGTCAGCATTCACACCAGCAACAGTTTCGAGGCCAGGCTAACTGACCGATTAACACTTGCAACTTTTCTGCAACCTTCAATATTCGATCCACTTACAACTATCAAATATCGACATAATCTATTATCACTGCAGCATAGCTCCTGCAACATTCTGTATAACTTCCACTCACTAAAATACTATTGCTGTTTATGCGTCAAACACTCTGCAACATTCGAACCTTAACAACATTCCCAGATGGCCAAACTGCGTGGTAATCGGCAAACATGGATGCTCCCTGTCGCATGTTGTGCCATCTTGTGGTACCATCAGTAAACTGGGTAGCATCATTAACAAATTATCAATACACATGTTGGCCTGGGCATATACAGCAAACCCGTCGCTACGGCGGATCTGTAACTACGGCAACGGTAAATAATGCAAGCTAGCTCTCGATAAAATTGCAAACACTTCCAACGAAGTGTGTAATTTATAACAGGGATTTCATTACTTTGCATTACTAAATTTCATCGAATGCACGTAAATTTTCACTGAATGTCATGTGTCCGCGACTGACGCATGGTACTTTACTACAGAGCGCGCCTGTGGCCAAATACATACTATACTCGACTGCAGGAGCTATGTTCGAGTTAAGGCTAGCTTCTGCTCTTGCCACTTTCACTACTCTTCCATTTCAATATGAAATTCCCGTGTAACACCAACTGCAGATGAGTTTGTCTAGCACTTTATGATACAGCAAGGATCGTAATATCTGTAACACAACGGACACCAATCACAGCCACATTCAGATAGAATCAATCGAAAAGACACTTAGTTCCTTTAGTGAACATGAGTGATGTATGTGATTGTTTCTATTGAGCCATAGTCGGCATCATGCCTACATAAAATGCACCACATTAAAACTAAAATGAAAATTAAGGACAGTGATCAATTTATGGTTAATATTGAAACGCTGTTAAGTGTAACTCTAGATGGTAAACTGTACTCATACCAAATTGTCAGTGAAGTCGTTGATAAATGCATTAATTGCCCCATAGGGACACCTCTTATGATTTATGTTGCTCTGTGATAATATATGACACTTTAACAGTTAAAAGCAACTTCAGCAGTAGAACAGAAAAAACGACATCCTAAAATTACCACATGTATACAAAAGGAAATCATTTGAATGTTATATAATATCACATTAATTATCTTATGCCTAACTGCAGACCAGTTCTTCACAACAATATTATCATACACTACTCGATATCTACACATCGCTAGCTAACAGCCAATTTGGTATAAATTTACAAAATCAAAGTTTTGAAGCTGTTGGCAACCGTGCTGCCCTCAGGTGTCGTACTATTCACAAAATGTTGTCGAGTGCCATCCTACTCCATCCGAGAGATCGCGAACATTTCGGAAACGTGACGAACTTGAGAGCTGCCAGACGGGCTTTCGCTTCGGAGACTTAACGTAACTACATTTCCTAGAAGACTCGATGATACAATAACGATGGACAAGTCCTTTCTAATAGCCGCGTGGGTCGGCCAGTCGGTCAACAGACGCCGCGCACGCCTGTTTGCGACGCGCGGCGCTACCGAGTGCGGCCCGCACGCGACGCATGCGTTTTACGAGTGGTCTGTTTTATAAGAACAGACAGAACAAATACCAATACACGGAACGGGCAAAAAACGAAACGACGAGGGACAAAGTCGTACAAAAATGGCAGTGTGTGTAAACACCATTGCATGCACGTTATCCATCCATCCATACACGTATTTTCTTGCGTATTGCACCAGAACAGGCCGATAAAATAGACCTTATTACTTTCAGTCGCCGACTACCGGACGGCTCGCCAAACACTGGCGAGACTCGGACCCGATCCATCTTGACCTCTGTATACAGCTAGCATGTGTCGGAGCACAACGGGGTGATTTGGGATTGAGTCATTGATGTGATTTCGTACTTGAATACCCGGACCGAGGAGGACGTCTGCCATCGATATGCATCTAGGAATCATCTTGGCTGAGCCTGGCAATGCAAGCCCGCCCTAATGCTTCGTTATTCACAACGAGATGGCGACGGTTTGCTGTGTAAACAGACGTCTGTGTGCCAGCGCTAGGCACCGTTCTCCGTTGGCATCGTGCGGACGTCCCTATCATGCTGGCGGTCGACCGCAGAAACTTGAGCATTGAGGCATAGCTTGAGCATATGCCGGCAACACGGACAGAAGGACAGACAGCAGAGGTGGCCTTTTGCAGATGCTGTGTACGTGCGCTGATATGCATGTTCGTTCTGCTTCCTCGCCAGGAGAGAAAACTTCTACGACTATCGTTTGTTTGGTGTACAATTGGTGCAATTAGTGTGCAATTAGTGCGCTACTACCTCCCGAAGACTTCGGAGGGCATACTTTCTTCCTAATTCGGCTGCATGCATTCAAACGCACATTAGATGTGTCTTGCCCATGATACATGGAGTAATATTTGTCGCCACCGTCAGTAGTACCCATTTTTTTAGCCATGTGTTGTACGTTGGGAGAAGATTAATGATGTTTAAAAGAAATAGAGAAATGATGCATGCAACAGTAGGGGAGGGGTGAGATAGAAGGTTGGTCATTGAGGGTTCTTTCCTAAGATTAGGGGTTAACTACAAAACTGATTGCATTTTTTACGTGCAGACGAGGTGAGAGTACACCATTTTAGCCCACAACTTACAATTTCTTGCCAACTACCATCCACCATGTCCAATCACATCTACAGATTTCCTAAAAATTTCTCAGGTTTTCCAACCCCCCACAGTCAGTACGTCAGGACCCTTCCAGCTAGGCATGTGAATAGACCACATTAACCAATCGCACTGATGCTCGTGGTCATGTGATTTCGTCGTGCACGTGATCAGATTCTGTGTCGTCAACGAGTTACGACAACACTTCTATTGTTCCAGATAAACGTTGAACCGTGTTTCATGGGCTTATAGGCGGCGAGGTCTCCTCTATGTCGGGCGGGTAGATCGAGCGCGTGCAACCTTGTGGCTCGACACGCGGTAAACACACATATCACCCTGGCGGTAACCCCACGCCAACCAGTAGGGCAGATGGGGTCGTTGTCGTATCAGGGTACTACAGATATGTACCCGAGGTAGTTTTAGGTTGTTTAGTATTATGTTTATATTTTTCTTATGAGGCTTTAGTTTAGGGGTGTAGGGTTAGGAGTTAGTGTTAGGGTTATGCGGTACACTTCTGTAGTACACATGAATCTGGTACCACATTCTGTGTATCAATATATGTACCTGGCACATATCTGTAGTACCGCATACGACACGAGACCCCCTTGAGCACAGGGAGCGGAAGCGCACACACCACTTATGCTCTTTCTCGCGCACACAGGTAGCGAGAGTTGCAGGGCGAGTCCATGAGGAGACTGCTGGCTGATGTGACATCCACTGCTGCATCTGGATGAGTCGTTGGGTAGGGTGATCCTGGGTGAGTGTGGTTTGACACGGTCCACGCCCACCGGGCTGGCTCAGCAGCAGAGAGTTAAGATTCACTCAACTAACATACTTACGGTGATAAACGAATCAACAATAAGTTTAAGAACTCGTCCGGCGCAGTGGTTTGGGTGCGTGTAGGAACGATATATATTGAGCCGTCACATTCAACAACAGTTGTCGAAATATCAGAGCGAACAACACGAGGATGAAACTTACTCGGATAAGTTTTACAAAACCGCGTTTGCGCCACAAACATGGCGGCGATGACGTCACTCGATCATCGCGTGAGTGTAGTGACTAGTGTGTGAATGCCACCACCTGCAGTACGGTTATATCCTCAAAGGTTAGCTTGGCTTAGAAGTTGTGCCCCCCCCCCCGTCTCTCTCTGTCTGTGTGTGTCATCTACTGACGTATCTACGTACCTTGCAGCTTGGTTGTCGTGACTGCGGACATACCGCTTGTTATCGCCAAGGGGAACGAGCACCAACAGTACGCTGCTGCAATTATACTGAGCATATGGTTCGAGACATTTTCGTAGGAAACTGTACAGGAGCAGTCAACGAGTGGGTCCTATAACGACGTGCGCGCTTCTCTATGAGCGCCACCTAGGAGACAGCCAGATTTATTCTTCGGCAAACCCGAATCGTCGCAACTGTGACGTGGGGGCGTGGGGGTGGGGGGTATGTGGGGTGGGGGGGAGGGTAACGGTTA